TTTGAAAATTGATATTTGAATTTGATTTGAAATCAAATATTTGAATCAAATCAAATCAAATCAAATCAAATGCGGAATCCTAGTTATCAGCTCCAAGATGTATAAGCAATTACAGATATCAGAAATAATAAGTAATTTGAAATACAACTAATATATATAAAAAGATATAGATTAATGTTTATTCAATTATATATTAATAGAATTATAATTTATAGTATTAAAATTTATCATATTGTATAGAATATAATAATTTAAATTTATTCTCTAAAAAAAGATCAACTATATTGATATTTGTAAATCTATATCAACTATATCTAATCAATAAAAATTCATACCTTTTGTCTATTTTTTCCTCAACATAGTAGTTCACATTTTCATCAACTTCAGTTTAATTGACTTTTGTAATAGTCATTATAATTTGCAATTATTTTTGGACAAGTTGATTTGTTAAATGATAAAACTTGTATCTGTGTATTAAATATTGAGATATAACTTTTTTAAAATATTTTATACTATTAAACCAATATTTTTTTGCTTAACAAAAAATAGTGCTGTAATTATATTAGTTTTATAATAATTAATATATAATAATATGTATTAAATCAAAATCATAATTAGAATCATATTTAACTCTAAGTCATTACAAATATTATATACAGATATCTTTTTTTAAAACAATAAAATTTCAATATACAAAGTGTGAAAGAACTTTTTCTCATAGAGCTTCACTTTGAAACCATATGAATGTTCATAATGATACCATTGAAAAACTTCTACAGAAAATAGCTAAAGAAAAAGAAAAAGAGCAGAGAATTTAAATAGAACAAGAATACTAGCAAAATGAAGACCAGCTAGTAATAAAAATAGAAAATAAACAACTTGGAGATGACAAAATAAGAATAGATGATAAAGGTGTTGGAGATGACAAAGGTGTTGGAGATAATAAAAATGTTGAAGACAACAAAGGTGTTGAAGATGATGAAAGTGTTGAAGATGACAAAGGTGTTAAAAATGATGAAGATATTGAAACGACAAAGGTGTTAAAAATGATGAAAGTGTTAAAAACAATAATAAAACAAGAATAAATAATTAACTTGGTGATGAAAATAACTATAATTACTAGATAAAAGATTAACAAAAAAGCCAGCTCGAAGGTTAATCAGAAAGTGAGATAAAAAAATTAAGCAGTCAAATCTTGGTAAATATATAAGAATGATAAAGTTAAACAATCAATTGTTTGTATAACTTCAC